CGGGGGCGGGGTTTTGGGGCGGGGCTGCCATGTAGCCACGGCTGGAACAAACACACACGTTATTATCTAAGAGTTACATCATATGAAAGTTCCAGGTCAAATTTGGAACTGATCCCAGGGTGTTAGCGGCGGACGCATTTTCTGGAACAACTGACGTGAGCAGGAACATTTCCTCCTCCAGCTGCCAGAACGACTTTCAAGCTGATTCGTTAATACATTAGGAATAACAATACAATATTACGTAATGATTCAAAGCAGATGGTAATTTCTCATTTAATTCTCTTTCTTCTATCTCACCTCCCTTACTGTTTCACTGAGTGGCCAAAGATTACCAAACTGAGGAAGATTTGAGGCACCTCCTCCCCCATATATGTTTCATAAATACATCACATACATGTTTTTGCCTTTGTTCCATCCTAACCTCGGCCAAGTGCCACGTATAAAACATACTCGTAGATGGGTGTGGATATCGACATTTTCGGTAAACTGAATGGTAGTCACGAATACAAGCTACTGGCACTGCCGATATTTTAAACATGAATGTGAAAATGTGAAAAATTTGAATCGTTTTCAGAGTAATTCATGTTACCCCGTTGTTGTTTAGCTGCTGTTGTAAAAAGAAATGTGGTCGAACGGCGACAAAAAGTCTTACCTGGGGTCGATGACCTCTCCTGTGACAGATAGCAACGTTCCACCTCTGGGATCATTAGGACCATCTCCCAGGAGGCCCCGGGGCGGAATTCCACCTGGTCCTAAGACGTGAAGCAAAAATAACAATTTAAAAACAAACAAACAAGGAAGACAATCTTATCCTCAGTATTAACGTTTACACTTTGCAGAGGTCTTTGGTTTTTGTAAAAAAAAAATCCAGTGAATCTTCTCTTATTTTAAAAACATAACGCAGGTTTTAGTACAAATTTAGGCCTCAGGAAAAAAATGCAGGTTTTAGTACAAATTTAGGCCTCAAAAAAAAAAAAGTACAAATATTCTCTTCAGAATTGTATTTTGCATTTTTTTGGGGTCTTACGTGCCTCCTTGTCAAAAAGAGAGACGATAACATCGATTTTCCAGCGTAATCCTTTTACTGGAATCGCTGGCCTGAGTTTTAAGGTGTGTCCGTTATTAAACAGTCTGTGACTGTACTTTACAGTCACTCGGAACTGGAACGCAGTCGTTTCCTTCATTGTACAATCAAACAATCAGTGAGCAACACTAACACACAAGTCATATCCACCCATTAACAAGCAAGGTGTCACACACAGCTAAATATACAGTAATTACTTTTTTTTTTTACCAGGACCATAAAATGAGGTAAGAATTATTGTAATCATAAAATGGCAATCAGACAGAATCCATAAAAAAAAGATGCACTGAAATGAAATTCTAAACCCAAAATGCACATTTCGGCTACTTTCGGACGAAGATTTTTGGTGGCCGACGAATAAAATGTTGATGCAAACAACATGAATAAATAAAAACAAGTATTCCGAGATTCCTTATTATCCTATTATCCAACTCTAAGTGGAGCCAAGAGGGGGGAAAAAAAAAAAGCTGCAGCCACTGAATATCCAACTCTAAGTGGAGCCAAGAGGGGAAAAAAAAAACTGCAGCCACTGAAGCATGAATCATACTAAATCCATCAATACAGTACCTCTGTGTTCATGGAGGAAGAAAAAAAAAAACACCTGTTTCCTTGTCAAGAGAATGGTTTCTTTGTCCAACACAGAGTTTTTATTTGGATTAAAGACGCCATTGTTAGTCAGAGTGTAATTAGGTGCGACGAATATGAACTGAGAGCCTGATCCTCACAAATGGGATCCAGGCAGTAATTTAATCTCGGAAGATTGATGGTCCAAGCGATCGGGATTCACCTCGACTCACAGCAGGCCGACAACGTAGAATGAACCTGTAGTGTGGAGCTGACGGGGTGCATTCTCTGTCTAAACAAACAGTTAGGGCCCCTTAAGTGGTCTTTAGAAAAATCCACAACAAGTAGTTCACGAGGAATTCTACAAACCAGTAAAACCTGTAACGTCCATCGCTGGGTATTTGAAATGCGGGCATTCCATATTCACATATCTCTAAGACTGACAACCTGACAACCAACTGTCAACTGGTGAAAGAGTGCTGGTTATTACGGTACTAACGAGAGAAGCTAAACGAAACTCTTCAATCATGGAAGACAGCTTTTTTTTTTTTCAAATACTTCACAGCTCTATATATTTCTATCTATATTTGTCACTTCCTCGTACGGAAAAAGGTTTATTTTTCCAGCAGGTCATCACGCCCCGCTCTCTGCCTCTCGGTTTCAATTACCAGATTACATACGCGTGCCGACTGACAGCGAGAGAGTGCCACAGGCTACGCCACACTACTGGTGTACACCAATGAACATCAACTGGCGGCCTGCGGATCGAACTGTCCAATTGGGCCCGTGACTGGATTTTAAAAAACTGTGAGGATCAAAGAGAAAATATCCTGTTCTCCGAAACTGTTAAAGCAACTGAAAAAAAAAACAAAAAAAACAACTGAGACTCAAATAATAGTATCATTACATATCAATATGTAATTATTATAATTATTATATATATTACATATTACATATGTAATATATATAATAACATCATATAATATTAGACAACAGTATGACACTATTTCATTTCATGTGTTCTTCTTTTTTCTACTGTGGTGTTGGACTTTGTTTTGAAGATAAAGTACTGCCCTTAAAAAAAAAAAAAAAAAAAAAAAAGTATTTGCTCTCATTAGTCCAGACCAATAATCACAGCAATAACACAAACCTTCCAAGCAACTGCAAAGTTGTAGGTGTGGTGTGCATTAAAGTTGTCTATAATTATGTGCAACAAATATGTTAAGTTTGCAACTAGAGTTTTGTATGAAGAGCACAAAAAACGTATGGGCCATACACATATATATAGTATATGTGTACATTTATTCTGTTGAAAACCGTTTCAAATTCTGACACGAGCTAACCTTACTCCAAGGCCGAGTCTCGGCCAAATCTCCATCAGTCAGACTTCACCACTGCTACGCCAAGTCTACAGCTGATCTGTTCTGGCTGGTGTGAAATGAGGTCGACTCAAAGCATGCACTGAAGCATTCAAAGACTAGGACAACGGCACGGCGGTAAGTGATGCCGTGACGCGCGGTGACACAGTGATACCTGGAGGACGATCGACGGCAGATGATCCTGTGGGGGAATGCTGTAGGTTTCCTGAGGCAGCGTTAAAGTCAGAAGAACAAAGAGACACAGAGGACAGCTACAGACATGTGACGTTTAGGTCTGCACACACCAAAACACACGCTTGCCGCAGCCACACAAAGCAATCGACTAAGCTGTAAAAATCTAAATACTAGAATGTGGGAAACAGGAAGGAGTAGATTGTAATCCATCAGTAGATCGCTGGTAGAAAACAATGTATACAATTTCTCACCGTTAAATGTAAGAGTTTAATGGTATATTTTGGGATCACAAAATCCCAAAATATAATGTAAATATATAATGTGTTCTGTTTATATGAGTAAATATATTTATCACTTTCACCTGGTCGTTTGAGTATTAGCTCCCAAGTTAACAGTGTGGACATCCCCCGCACTAAACGTTAGTGAGTCTCTAGTGACACCTAGTGGTCTCCGTGAGCCATGACATATGCCAATATTTGGGGAAAAATAATACGTTTTTATCGTGATTATTTGCTTGATTTTCACCTATTAATCACAAGAAATCAAACTATCCGGTAAAAAATGTAATATTACACACTTTCATTTTAAAAGTACTGCTTTGTGAATAAAAAGTACAATAACATTTGTTTTACAAATTCAAATAAGGTCAATCTCAAACGAAACATTTACTGAATCAAATCAAATATAAAACCAAAGCTATTTGCCACTGCAGGGGACATAGAGACATTAAAGACATCCCCGGGTTTGGTGTAAAAAGTATTTGCCCTCATTAGTCCAGAGCAATGACCACAGCAGTATAACACCAAACGTCCAAGCAATTAAAGTGACACCTGAAAAATTAGGTTGTCTCTTGTTATTAAAACAAAATAAATGATCAAATTCTGGACCGTTATTAATGATACGTTTCAGTACCTACATGGCCCAATAAAAATATTTTTGTGGTAAATAAAAGTACATCAAGGCATCATTTTGTGACAAGGCACGGCAAAATTTATATATTATATTTATATATACATATTATATATATTTATATCCACCATCCCGACGGCCAATGGCAGTTAATGAGGCAATCATCGGCCAATACCGATGTTCATCCAATGCATTGGTACATCCCTTAAAAAAGATTCCTAACTTTGCAGTGGTGTTGAATAACTTTGGCTTTATCAACTCGAATGGCACGAAGAAATTCAAAATGAAAATGTCAACGTATGATGCGGCACCTCGTTCAATTTTTTTTCTGATTTTGTGATGACTTGCAACCCAAGCCTGTAGTAGCAAACATCCATCCACAACTGTGACCCAGCCTTAGTTTTTCCCTTTTAAAATGGTTGACTGACTGAATGTGTATTTAAGTGCCATGAATCACTCATGTCTGATTTTCACTCTGTTGTTCTTACCTGCAGGTCCCACTGGTACTGGTCCAGGGACAGGTCCAGGTCCAGGTCCAGGCATTGTTCCTGGAACCATGTTTGGGGGCTGCATCATTGGAGGGGCTCCATTCAAATGCAGCCCAGGCTAATCACAACATGAATTTAAAATAAATCAGAGGAAAAAAGGGGACATCAGGAGAAAATAAATGAAAGTGACGTTCTCGTGTGTACTCACTACAGGTTGTGGCTGCGATGTTGGCATGTTGGACTGTGCAGGAGGCGGGTTGACTGGTGGTGCCTGTCCTACCTGTCCACCGGGAACGAGAGGCTGGACTGTGGTCTGACGGTGAAGCATTTTCTGTTCAAAAATGACCGGGAAAAGAATCCTTTAAAAACCAGTTCAAATTGATAATTGAACACATTGACATTAACGACATTAACTAAGGCTGCAAACACCTTCTTTGATCAAACAAGCTTCTTTAACCACGGCTGGTTACGGTGTAACCAGCTGTGTTACAGGCACTGTTCGTCGAAGCAGAAAAGAGCTAACGTGTAACGCTTAAATGTTAGCTCTTTTCTGCTTCGGTGCTTCAACCACAGTTGGAATGCACAGAGGAGACTTAGTGATCTGCTCCAGGGCTGACGCTAACATTAGCACCGGGGCTAACTCCCTTTACTTTCTCCTCCAGCATTCTACAGGCTGCCGTTGCTGAGGTGATAGTGTCGCACAAAGTTAAGTTGCCAAGGTATTGCATCAGACGGGCTATAGATGCTTTTTTTCGACGTTCGATGCTGAAATTTTGACCCATATCAAACTAATACCAATCCTGAGTACAGGATGGAGCCACCCCTAGTTTCAACACTATGCTTTTGATACTTTCCATCATGTTTTTCCTTGTTTATCTTCAATAATCCGGCACATAATATTAGCATAATCTGGTTTTGAGTCGGACTCCTCTCACCAAGGCGATTTCAGGGTCAACGATCCTCATGACCACCTGGGCCTGCAGCAGGGCATAGGCCAGCTGAGGGTTCTGCAGCAGCATGTTTCTCGCCTCCTGAGGACTGTTCTGGACACATAGCTATGAACACACACAAACAACCATCATATGTACAATCAAACAAAACAATGGAATTATGCATGTAACGAAAATATGTATATGAAATGTGAAATGCATTCCAATACATTCCAAGAGTCTTAGAAAGAGATTTAAAAAATAAAATAACATATAAATGTAACAGAAAGTTGAAACATCGGAGACCATTCAAAGCTCCCTACCTTCATCTGCTTCATAAGCTCAAACATCTGCTCTGGAGGCAGACTGGCCACAGCTCTGCTGATGGACTCTGGAGCCTCTTCTGGCTGGACATTGTCTCCATAAGGAGACTCAATAACTGGAGCTCCTGTTCCCAAGCCTAAGACGTAGAACAATGACAAAACAATCTGAGCTTTAAACTTTGAATCACATTTATATCACATAGATATGTCTGAGAAGTGATATAAAAATACACACTTTTGAGCTCTTCCTTGTTCTTCTCACTGGCTGCGTTGTCCACACGAAGTGCTCGTCCGCTGAACTCTCGGCCATTCAGGTTACGCATGGCACTGAGGGCCGTTTCCTGGTCTTGATATTCACAGAAGCCATATCCCTTTGGCTTCCCTGTCTCCCTGTCATACACTAATCTGAAACACAGGACATAAAAATGTGCAAATTGCAGGTACATTGATAGACGTTAATTATTGTAAATGAATGGTCTCATGAATCTACCTGATGGGTTATCAAGAACAACACTGATAATACACTGGCAGTGTCAACAAACAATATTAAAACATTAAGTGTGTACGTATATTGTAAATTATAACATAAAAATGCGAGGCTCTACTTATATGAGACAAAACGTTTATATGTATTGGGTTCAATAATTTAAGACAAAACGTTTATATGTATTGGGTTCCATGTAATTCTTACGTAATTTAATATTTTAGAACCGAATGAATTGGAAGTTGTTTTACTCACCTGAAGCTAACAACAAGTCCAACTTCAGAGAAGATGTCCTTCAGCTGCTCTTCAGTGGCTTCATATGGAATATTGCCCACTATCACACAATGAATGGAACAACATTTATATGTTAATTTATATGTATGTATGTCACAAAACAATACAACATTTCTTTTCCTCCTCACTGTTCTCGTGCCAACGCTAAAGTTAGCAAACAGGCTAAGTTAGCCAGTCGTTATTGATATTTGTTGTTATCCACAAATTTAGGCAAAACAATTTTTCCGAGACTTAATAGAGGACACAGGCTTACCGAACACCGACCGCAGCGACCGGTCCACGGCTGGGTCTCTGCTAGCAGCAGCAGCAGCTGCAGCTGCGGCTGCAGCAGCGGCTGAGACGGCAGATACGTTCGCCATTTTGGGGACTGAGAACAATGTGACACAAGGAAATAAGAAAAGGACAATTCCGTTACAGATACGTACAGCATTTAATATGAACGGTACAACCAAAGTTGTAAAGCTACAGAGTTCTTGGAGTTTATATTATTTCACGTTTTTACACATGCCTTTTTTTTCATTTGTTTTTAGAGCTCCACTGTATTTGTCACATTATGTTCGCCCGACAATAGCCCAAATATACAGCAAGAATTTGTATCTCGTCATTGTTGTTCGCCTATAAATTATAATGACACGGGTCTGTTGTATTATTAAAGCCTGTAACTACTTTACTTTTTAATTGTTTTGTTATAACTTAATATACATTATTTTATCTTACCCCACATTTTTTGTCCTTTTTTATTCATTGGCCTGGTTTATAACGTTTGAACTTTATTATATGAATATGTTAACTAACTTATATTTCGTCAGTTAATCGACCACAAAAGACGTTGGACAGAAAAAAAAACCCTGGTTCCACTGGGGCTCGAACCCAGGACCTTCTGCGTGTAAAGCAGACGTGATAACCGCTACACTATGGAACCGTGCTGCATGTTTGTTGTATCAAAGGCTTTTATACCTTTATTCTTCGGAGTTCTGTGCCGTAGTTTTTATGTGATTGAGTTTGTTTTGTACAATCATGCTCTGCATAATTCTAACTCTGGCATTAACCTATTTGTAAATGTTTAACCTCAACCTTGAGTTTTTACACGTATTTGTGTAAAATACATAGAAAATGTATCATATTTTAAAGCAGTGATTTATCGTGATTAATCGTGATTAATCCAGCTACCCTTATTATTACCCTTATTCCCTTGAATGGTCGTAGAGGAGGTGGAACCAAAGGATATGTTTGAGCTACAGCTTAATTAATAAAAAGTAGGTACAAGGTGGCAAAAAGAAAACAAAATAGCCTCCAAAAAAAAAAAAAAAAATAACAATAATTCCCAATTTTTTAAACTTGGTAAAAAAATTGAGAAATTATGTAGTAAAAATATGAAGAATGACGTGGTAAAAATATTGAGAAATGACATGGTAAAAATATTGAGAAATGACGCGGTAGAAATATTGAGAAATGACGTGGTAAACGATATTGAGAAATGAAGAATCTCTCCGGCTGTCCATTTAATTTTTTTAACTGGCAGTTAAGGCAAAATATCAACCGAACTGTCTAACCCAACCCTGAAGGTGTTGCATTTGTTAATCACTGTAAAACATCGTCATCCTTCCCTTAAAATGTTTTCACATCAGGTCGAAAATCCGTGGGTTTAACAAACTCTGAAGCAACACCACAGCAACACCATTTTACAAGACTCTTTGGTACGTTGTTATTAGCAGTTGGCACTCGGTGTCCTAATCATATTAGATGAGGTCACCTCGTCTGAGAAGGCTTCACCAAAAGGTCAATGTTTACATTCTCTGTCGAAACTGATGAGTGCTAATTTGAACCTATAACATGAATGGGTTGTTTGATCCTCAACAACACAAGTATCACTCATGGAAAGTTTTATTCAGATTGAATCATTCATGATAGAGCTAAAGCAATGCAGTATCTCTGCCCAGCCTCCATTATCTTCCCTCAAATTGTCAACTGGCGGAATAAGGAATCTAAAGATAGAAGATTTATCTGCCATGAACAGAAAATTGTCATCTCTACAGACACTCATCCAATCCATGATTGTCTGTTGTTAAGCAAACCGACTGTTTAAACGGAGATACACATCAAGTTCTGTGATTTTTGAGTAAATAATCTACAGATTTGTCCTTTTTAACTGACTTTTCAAAGAACGTGAACCAAACTTTCTTGATTTGATTGTGATGTTGAAAGCATTGGCAAAATTCATTGGATACTTTCTAAGAACTAGATTAAAAAAAAGATTTAATCGGTGTGTCCAAAATTCATTGGATACTTTCTAAGAACGAGATAAAAATAATAATGATTTAATCGGTGTGTGTGTGTGTATAGTTTGTGTTCAGTCTTTGTTGACCGTCTGGGCTTAAAAAAAAAAAAAAAAAAAAAAAAAGGGAGATTCTGTACCAGAAAATCCCAGTCCTGACAGATTCGACAGCCAGCGACGGCGCCTCTGTACTCTCCCCTTCTTCTCCGGTGTGTCGGCGCTAGGACCCAGGGAGCGCGATTCCCATCTCCAGCTGCTGCAGACCCCAAACTGGAAATAAGGCAAAATTTGAGAGGACGAGCCAGAACCTGGCCCTGGATCTAGACCCACAAAGTCTAAGTCTCGTTCACGGATGAGGTCTGGTGCGGAGGCTGCAAGAGGTTCTGGGTGTGAGCAGGTTATCGGTGTGCAGCAGCTCAGAGCTGAAGGTAAGGCGCTGCAACAGCCTGGATCACTAATAACAAAGGCGTTCCGGGCAGCGGGGCATTTAAGGAGGCATTCCGACAACCGGGGGTAAAACAAAAACACTACACAAAACTCCGACCAACTTTGGCCCGGAGCTCGTGCAACGCTAGATCATGAGATGATTCGGGTTTCACCTCGGGCTCGGTGTTCTTGGGAGACACCGCCGTGTGTCTCAAGTTGTTGTGTTGTCGAGATGAGGCGGTCCGCGTCCGCGACCACGCGTGTGCGCGACGTGTCGTCTGTCCAAAACCAGGACACTGTATCTGCAGGACACGGGTGATGCGGTGATTTATGACAAGTGGTCCAAAAAAAAAACAACAACAACCAAAAAAACAGGACGGAACCTAAACGAGAAAATTGGTCTGTGGTCCACTTAGTGCTGCTAGAGCGGCTGCTGCTGTTACTATTTAATGCTAAACCTGATCGAGCTGCCGCCGCCGCCGCCGCTGCCGAAGCTTGTGCTGTTGCCACTGTTACTGTTATTGGTGCTGCTAAAAAAAAATGTTGTTGCTACTGTTAATTTTCTGGTGATGTTAGTTCTGTTTCCTGGAGCTTCCGTCGCCGTGACTGCTGCTAAACCGCAGCTCCAGAAAGATTGCGCACACTTTCACAAAGATGGAAGAAGTTCTTCTTCTGTTGTCTGAGTGAAGTGGATGGTCTTGTCCAGATTACGGTCACCTCCAGGGAGGACGTCGTTCACCAGGTCAGGCCTAAGCTTGGTGTGTTATTTTTCCACCGATTAATGACTGAGCAATTCCACATTTAGGCAACATCCCCCGATTAAAATCGCCCTGTTGACGAAGAGCCACAGGCATCTCAGTGGATTAGCAACTCCTCACATCCTTCTTAGATGTTCAGGTGTGATTTGTAAAACCACAGCCTTTTTATTTTTTGTTGTTGTTTAAATGATGAGACACCAACACCTTTGAAACACCTTTGGATTGAGGTCACCAGACTTATTTTCACTCCATTCTAGACTAGTGGAAAAGAAGGAAAAGGGGGAGATTTGTTTGATCCAAGAAGTATCAGAATATTAGAATGAATAATATCGTAATTAAAAAAACATAAACTACGTTTGATCCAAGAAGTATCAGAATATTATAATGAATAATATTGTAATTGAAAAAAAAACATAAACTATTATATCTGACTCATTATTCAGATATATTATTTGTTTAGACTAAAGGAGTTAAAAACAAAATAATCATAAAAAAATAAGAAAATGACTTTTTTTCCCCACCAAAAATAAAGCCCACTACTACTTTTTTTTTTTTGCAAATCTCTCTTAAAGATCATCATTGTGTCCAGATCTCAAAGCTGTTCTAGAGATTCAACGGGGTTTTTTCCGTTTTTTTTTTCAATCAGGGCTTTAGTTTCTCAATTTCAGATATGACCATCTGTCAGCCATTACTAAACTCCCTCTCTGTCTCTCTCTCTCTCTCTCTCTCTCTCATACACACACACACACACACCGAGAGAGAGAGAGAGAAGAACCGTGTTTGAAGCGGCGTAATCATTAGAGTCCCAGGTTAATGGTACGGATGAATGGAGACGAATGTCCACGCTTCTTGTCCTTTCTCTCTCTGTTTGTCCTGGTGTGTTACAGTCACAGTCAGTTGTCGCCCTGCCTGCGAACGGTTATTTCCTCAGTCACCACAAGTGTTAAGAAATAGGGGAAATTAGTTGTTTTTCCAGTGCGGCAGGTCTGTGACATGTCTGGATTGAAGTCCCGACGGCTGCAGATTTGAAGATGATCACGGAAGTTGGATGTGATGCGTTGAGTTCGGCGTCTTCACATTTAGCTCGTGTCGTGATGACAGCAGAAGTATCTAAAGATGTAAACAGGAACGGCCGGACGTTCCCGTGTGATCGCAGTTACAGGATCCAGGTTTTAGAGGTCGAAGAAGCGTTGGGAGTAAGCAGCTTGATGACGTGTTTAACTTTTACATTTAGGTTGTTAGTTAGTTTTCATTTGTAACGGTTCACCCTGCAAATGGTGGAGCTCAACGGTCTTGACATCATAATGAAAGGTGTAGTTACACTCTGGACCGGTCACCGGTTCACCCTGATGCCCAAGAACAAGCTTCAAAATGTTATTGTGGAGCAATTTCTTTCTTAGGTTTTACTGCGTTACCTGAGGCAGAGAATCACGGCTCCACTCTGCTTTTACAGAACCGGCGATCAAGTATAGTGTTAAAGAAAAGATGCACATTTGATTTGTAGCTACTTGTGTCTGACAACACAACTTAATCGTCAGAACAAAAAAAAGTCTGAGACTCAGCTCAAAGGAGAGCTGAGTTAAATGGTACCTTTAAAAAAAAAAAAAAAACTAAAAATGTTCCTAGAATTTCAAGGAGAGCTGAGTTAAATGGTACCTTTTTTTTAAAAAAAAACAAAACTAAAAATGTTCCTAGAATTTTCCCATTATTAGTGACACATACATCCTGTCCTGTCTTGGTCCAATACCATGAAATGAACAGTTAGAAATGTACTCTGACCACTTTTGATTTCTATGTAATTTGTGAAGTGTAACCTGCTTCAGAAATGAAGACTCAACCGCATTTGTAAACATGAAATAAGAGCGAGCGGGGTTTTTCCTCCCGAAGACCTGGTAAAATGAAGCATATTGGACCTAAGTTGTACTGATTGAGGGGTAAAATCATTCAGACTACATCGCCAAAGTACAAAGTCATGCGTTGGAGACACCATTCTGTAACAACGTTCTGGTTTTTCTCGAGTATTACAGTACTGGGTATTAACCGACTGGGCTGGTTTCTGACTTTGAGACGAAGTAAAGGGTTAAACAAATCTCATCACTTTGGTGATTTTATAACGAGCTTGTTGTGTATGTATCTATACAGTTGAAGGCAGATGTTATATGTTCCTTTATAAGATTTGCTTTTTGGCCATACAGTAAACTGAGTGACGTGATGTCGGTGAAGTAACAAATCTCCGGGTTTGTAGGTGAAAGTCAGTCACGTGAAATGTTAACAACGTGCTCCAGTTAGTAAATATCCAATACAACCTCGTGAAACGCTATCAAACACATTAACGACCCAAAATAAAAAAAAAAAACAAAAAAAAACATCTACTGCGACGCTGTCTGATTCGGTCTCTGGAACAGATCACTGCCGTGACCCGGTTCTCTGTGGAAGCCCTCAATTCAGCCCTGGTTCTCGTTAAACCCCCCCCCTCTGGTCCAAAGCACCGTTACTCTCCGTGGTCTGTGGACCTCAATTTCCCCCTCAGCGGTTGCAGAGCGCGGTGCATGCTGGGAGTTGTAGTCGCGGCGACACGGGCCTCGCCACCGCGAATCCAGGGCGTGGATTGATTGAAACTACATCTCCCAGCTCCAGTCCCAGTCAGCTCCCAGTGCCCCTCAGTCCTCGGTCCTCTCCCAGACCACTGAGACCGGACACACGGAACCACCTCCGACAAGGAGACCCCCGGACTCCTACACGCCGCTCCGGATATTTATGACCACAACCCGTCCAGAGCCGAGATAAGCCGAGAGCAACCGAGTGGAGCCGCGGACGAACCTAGGAGACGCCGAAGGCTCGGACACGGAGGTTCCGGAGTCGCGTCTTCTCGTCGTTCACATGCCATCTGGACCCGATGGTTCGTGAGTGTTTATCATGAATACGTGTTTTTTAGCACGGGATTAGACCCGGGATTATTCCAGAAAACACAGTCAGGGGGACGAGGACAGAGGAGGGGAGACTCGCAGCGGAGGACCGGATTAGGCTCTCATCAGGTTCTAAGATTCTCAGGTTCTGAGGGTTCCGTGGTTCGGAGGTTTGTTGTAATGTCTGTCAGTGCTGAAGTGGTTTTAGACAGTCCCGAGAAACATGGGCCAGGATCCAGCAGGACGAAGCAGTACTCTGGTCGGACAGGGATGCATATTAAAAACCTGTTTCAAACATAGACCTTATATAGTCTGTGGATCCAACACCGAAAGGGAGGGAGGACAGAAGTGGGTCCGGGGTCGGACCTGGAGAGAGAGAGAGAGAGAAAGGGGTGGGGGGCGGGTAGTCCGCTGGAAACTGGGTCTAGACCCAGATAGTCCGCGGAGACTTCGCCGTGAGCGGACCATGTTTTTAAGACCGGGGAGAGATGTTTTTCATCGGACACTCCGGCAGTCCGCACACGGACCGTAGGTGGTGCTCAGCGGCTGTCCCTGCTGTCTGGAACTCTGCCGTAAGTGGAGGTTAGCGGCCACCGTAACGGCGCTTACCCCGGCTGAAGGTGATGACCCGCGGCGACAGAGGTGCTGTGGTGCTTCGAGGCAGGAGCGACGTGTGTTCGGGCACGAGGGCTCCGTGGGCTGTGCACGAGGTTCGGTCTGGGGCTGTAGGGACTGGACCGCGGCCGTTCGGTCGGTGGGTACCTGGGCTGTACGGTCTGGGGGGGTGTCTGTGTCCGGACTGTGGAGACTTCAGTGTATGTTTAGTTCGGTACAAGTTTTCAGTCCGAGTTGCTCGGAAAATGTTCTGTCCATGCAGTTTGCTGTGTTGTTTGGTCTCTCTCTCTCTCTCTCTCTCTTTCTCTGTGTGTGAGAGAGAGAGAGAGAGGGAGAGAGAGTTATTGATTAATGTTATTGGGATATGCTCGTACCTTGACAGGACAGATTTGGTCTGGAAAAACATCATTGGACGTCTTCAGAAGTGCCTGATGACGTCAATGATTCTCTTTTCTTTAGTCAGTAATTGCGGGAGAGCACGTTATGATCAACGATAAATGGTAATAAAGTTGTTGTACAGAAGCAGGGACCTGTTCGGAGACAGGTGATGAAGGTTTGGCGAGGCGGTTCGGGGCGTTCGGAGACAGGGTGTTTGGGTGTTTCGAGGACATGGAAATGGATTTTTGAGACGTTCGAGGCGTTTGGCGGGAGATAAAGTTTGGAGAACAGATCTGGATCTGAAGGTGTCCGGAGAAAGGGGACTGCTGGACGTCCTTGGAGACGTGTTGATTGCGACCATCCTTGTTGTGTCACAGAATGCTGGAGGACTGGAGGAGACGCTGTCACAGAATGCTGGAGGACTGGAGGAGGAGACGCCGTCTGGTCTGGACTGGGTGTTTGCACAAAGGTTTTACCTAAGACACCGACGACATGCGTGTCCGGATTGAGGTGGTCCCGCTCAAGATCCGCGTTGGATTTGTCTTTTTGACGTTTGACATCAACAGCAGCTTTTCACACACTCCTTGGTCTAAAGTCACCTCTTCAAATGTGACTTTGGCCATACATGCTGTAAATAACCGACCGTTTGCTCCTTTATTCACATCTCTCTATGGATTTAGAACAAACTGGCTGCTTTTCATTCACCGCTGCTGATTCTGTCCTGCATGGATTGCTGTAGGAGCCTATCAGAGCACAGCTGGGCCCCCGCAGACATGGGACCCTATAAGCGTTGGCTTTGGTTTGAGGTCTGTTGTAAGCATTTCTTATTGAAAGAAGAAAAAAATAATAATCATAATCGCAGAACAGTAAAAACTGGGGAAGCTCCGGTTAAATCCCTTAACACCATTTACGGAGTTAATCTCTTCTCTTTTTTTTTTCTCTCCATAAAAACCGGCACAAACGTCAGAGGAAAACGTTTCAGTCGTATCAGCACAGAAATGTCAAGAAGAATTTCTTGTCAAACTGTTGAAGTTATGAAAGGAAAATTTGCATTTTATCCATTTGTTTATAATGAATCTAAAACTTAAAAAAAAAAATACCAGAGAATCCAATCCCTATATTAGATGAGATTTTAGAACAAAATAAAAACAAACAAACATGTGAAATAAAAACTTTTAGAAATTTTCGGTTGGTCCTTCACGCTGGTTAGTTCATGGTGGCAACTCATCGACTACTCATTTTTACTTGGCTCATGTGTTGCACTGTTATTGCTGGGCTTAGTGGTTGGTTTTGGGACATTTTGGAATCTGTTGCTCCCCCTGCTGCTGCTGCTGCTGCTGCTGCTATTGAAGCAGATACTGCTGCTGCCAAATCGGGTACAGCTGCTGTTACTTGTGCTGCCAAAGTTGCTCCTACGTCCAAAGCTGGTACCGACGCTACTCGTGCTAAAGTTGCTGCTGATACCTTTAGTGCCGGTGCTGCTGTTACATCTAAAGCCTCTGCTGTTATTGTTGCCGCTGACAAATATTGTGCTTCAAAAACTGCCGCTGCTGTTGCTTTCCAAAGGTGACGTTTGTATTTATGGGCGAAAATAAATATTAAAAAAAAAATTGGAAAATTAGTCATACATCAGAAAGTTCAAACATAGCGGTTAATGGGTGTAACCTCCATGGACTGTATGAGTTTACTCTGATGTGAAGAGCAAAGAAATCTGATGAAAATCAGTAGCGGACAAGGTGACGGCTCTTATCTGGGTGTCATTTCCTGAACAGAAATGTGTTAAGTAAGTGATAAATGCTTTGCTTTACTCTCCAAATTTTCACTTTTTTCCGTCAAGACGATCACCATCACGATCGATAAATACGTTTTGATCTGTTGCCGGCACTGGCAGGATATATTTCTTTGTTTAGCAGGATATATTTCTTTGTTTTTCGCTTTCTTTTTTTTGCAGCTTTATTTCTTTATAGTAGAATCTAGGTTATTTTTTACTAAAATAACATTCTTTGTCTTTTTTCTTTCTTTTTTTTTTTTTTACAGTTTATCGCTGAGAGTGAAGTTGGAGGAGGAACCTTACCTTACCTGCAGGACTCTGCTCCTCTCTGAGGGATGTTGTGTTAAAGAAACACCTATGCAGGTACGCCTGGTATTATAACCGGGCTCCAGAGCCTACGCAAAAGAAAGACACAAACACATCAGACACAACACATCAGTGTCACAAAATGTGAACGAAGTCTGTAGACACTTGCAAATCATTGTATATCATTGTATATTGTATATTTATATACTAACTAGACACAACACATCAGTGTCACAAAATGTTCTCTTAAACGATTTGGTTTAGACCGAAGTCTGTAGACACTTGTAAATCATTGTCAATATGAACAAGAAAAAGGTAAATATTATATACTAACTCTATATATACCATATTTAGTTATTCACTTGTCCCTTGTTTTCTTGGTTGGTTCTACACATTCACTTCTGGTCTGGTCAGTTTGTTTTATGGAAGGTTGTCAAAATGAGTGCCCTCTAGTGGCTGTCAGTGTAAAAAAAAAAAAGAACATTTAAATTATCAGTAGTACAGGAGTAGCACATACTGGTACAATAGGCCTAGAGTGCCCTCTAGTGTAAAACAGTGAACATGTACATTTTCAATGGTACAGGAGTAGCAGATACTGGTACACAAGCCTAGAGTGCCCCCTAGTGGCTGTCAGTGTAAAAAAAATGAACGTACATTTTCAACGGTACAGGAGTAGCAGATACTGGTACACAAGCCTAGAGTGCCCCCTAGTGGCAGTCAGTGTAAAAACAATGAACATGTAAATTTGATTAATTCCTGGATATTTCATGTTTCGTGTCGTTGCCCAGGTGGAACCTACACTAATGAACGTAGCGGATGGAGCCACGGTGAGCAGAGAAATCAGTGCTCAGACAAAAGCATCCACAGGAATGGTGGGAAATCCCCCACAGACACTGACCCCTGAGTTCAGAGGCAATGTTTCCCTCAGTCAGCAGAACAAGAACACTCCAACCTCAGATTGTAAGACGCTCAGAGCCTGCCTGGACTCCGGCAGCTCGTCTCACCAGCCCAATAATGCAGCCATGTCAGGAGAGAAGCGAGCAGACAAAAGACTAGAGAACTCCAAAATCAAGGTGGATGGTATTTTCTCTTCGCCACCGCGGTCAGGCGGCGTGAAGGCCAGCTGCGAGGACTCGAACCCCTGCCACAGTAATGTGATGTCCGGCAGAAAAGCCCAGTCCCTATCTGCTGGCTTTCAGTGCTCAGCCATGTTCAAACCAGCTCCACCTGTTGCCTTCCTGCCTTCCCCTAACTTCTCCTCTCCGCTCTGTAAAATCACTCTGCCACCAGCACTGGGTCAGATCACGGCACTGAGAGAAGCCACGTCCGGTCAGTTCCACAAAAATGTCCAGCCTCAGACCTCGGGTCTCCTGAGGTCTTATCCGTACCAGTTCTCTGTAGGTCGGACTTCTTCTGCAGAGAGGAAATCAGGGTCGTCCTCCTCCAAACTAAAGTCCAACCATTCGCTGAGCAGGAACTCGAAGTCTGCGGGAGAACACAAGTCCTTAGCCTCCGTGGTGGCCCCAACGGCGATGGCCCTGCCGTTGCAACACCCGTCCATGAGTTCAGCGGCTCCGACCCACTACACCATCTCTCCCACTGCTGCCATCTGCTGCGGTTCGGCACTGGCCAGCATCACCTCTCAGAGCAGACTGCTCAACCATGTGGAGAAGAACAGAAACTCTCTGAAAACCTCTCTGCAGTCGGCCTCTGAGGACCGCATCGTCTGTCCGGGAGAATCCAGAGATGTCCCCCTGGACCTGTCGGCGAAATCCAAGCGTCCGAAATGCATCGGCGATGCTCCGGCTTCTCCACTGGACACGCACGGCGCCGAATCGAATCCGAAGGAGTTCCTGAACTCGAAGAGGTCGTACAGTTCGGCGGCGCAGTTCCCCGTTTTACCGAACACCCACAGAAATGGTTCTCACCCGAAACACACCCATAACCACCAGACACCCGACCACAAAGCCGCCTGGGGTAAAGGGTCCTCGGAGGATTCGATAAAAAATATCCCAGGGACATACGTAGGTGTGGCCAGTCCCATCCTGGCATCTACTCTGCGAGGGAAAGACGGAAAGGGAACATTTGCAGACGAGCTGCAGAGTTTCGCCAAGCAGGAGCTCATTTCGATCGTTGATCAAGGAGAACATGTGTCGTCAGGGGGAAAAAAGTTATCCTGCGCGATGAAGAGCAGTCAGCATTCTCACGGTGTCGCACACGCGAAAAACACCAGCACAGCCATAACTAAGAATGGCTCTTCTAAAGGAGCTCTGAAATCTGCTCTGTCCAGCTCAAACTCCAATTCCGCCGGGGCCTACTCCACCAGCGTCAGTCCAACGTGGCTGAAGGCATCTCACCTGCCTCACCCGGGTCAGAAGAAAGGAATCCACGCATCTCCGAAAACCAAAGGAACCGCGGGGTTCCCTGGTCATCACCGCAGTCAGTCCTGTCCTGACGAAGATCAGTGGGAGGCGCTCAAGTCTCCACTGCCCAGCCTCACCTCCGTCATCAAACAGCAACCCGTGGAAACCTCTGAGGCTCAACCTCAGCCGTCACCCGTCGCAGCAGCGAAAACGGACCTTCCGAAGCCCGGGAGCCACGAACCTCCTCCGAAACGTTCCGCTTTTCCATCCTACTGGTCTGTGGAGAAGTGGCACGGAGCGGCGTCCCCGGAACCTCTGGAGAACCATCAAGATGAGAGCGGCAGCGAGAGAATCAAAAAGAGCTCCTCAAAACCCGGACAGCCGCATCCTTTCAGTGGCTGCACATCTGCCAAGGAGAAGAAAACGGAGAGCAAACTCGCCCAGGTGTTAGAAGGGGACATGCTGAGGACAGAAGGTGTGGCGTCGCTCGGTCTTGCAGGTGAACATGTAGAGGGAAAGGCCAAATCTGTACTGACAGGCCAGGGTGAGGAGGAGAGAGGAGGAAGGGTGCGGGAAAACCCGGAGAGGGAAACAAATGGAACCAAAGAGGAGTCGCCAGGAAAATCGAACCCAGCTGCTGCAGTCAAACAGAAGAAAGGCAATCCTAAAAAAGTGACCAGGGAGAAGACGGCGGAGACGATAAAGAAAGCTGCAGAGAAGAAACAAAACGAGGAGGAAAACACTCCAAATAAAATATTCTCCAATAAAAAGGTAAATTCTTTGGAGTTATTTTTCAGGCATGGGCAAAGTAAGGCCCGTGGGCCTGATGTGGCCCGTTCAGCTTTTTAATCCGGCCCGCGGGCCAGTACTAGTCGATAGGTCATTTGGCTCCCGCGGGGCCACACAAAATGACTTGGTGGGCCACATTTGGTCCCCAGGCCTTGAATTGGTGTGTGTCTGGGTTTTATATGGGGGGGATTCTACTGTATCAAAACATACAGGATTCTGAACTCCCCATAAGAATGAATGCGAGTGTGAATGGATGACTGTCTCTTTCACTCACTCAATCGCTGTGTTTCAGCAGAAAAAACAACCTTCACCGATTCTGGAGCAAAGTCTGCCTGCGACAAAACACTGTTCTCCGGGTAAAGAGACGACGAAGAAAAACAAGATCACTACCGCAAATGTGGAACTTTCAGTCCAGAGAACCCAGAAGAAACCAGGTGAGCTCTTTAGCATGGACTCGTCTTAGAATACTCCTTGTGGTTTTCTGATTGGGCCAGTGATGGAGACTGTTTTTTTTGTGTGTGTGTATGTGTCGTCTCCGTGTCATACTTTTAAGAGTTCTCTGTGCTCAAACCTGTTTCAGTCAGTTCCAGTCCTGGGAGGACAGAGACTCTAGTGTCGCCTGAAAGTCTGGACTCTTCTGTTCAGGACGCAGACAAAGACACAGATACGACCTTCCCCAGACTGAGGAGAGGACGGCGGAGACTGGACGAGTCTCGGCTCGACCTGTGGGGCTTCGCGACACCTTCACCCCCTCCTCCACCTCCACCGCCACCTCCTCCTCCTCCTCCTCCGCCACCTTCTTCGGCTTCTCCTCCAGCTTCGCCCTCGTCTCCTGCAACCCCCACTCCAGTCCCCCGGCGTCCCAGAGGGAGACCGCGTTTAAAACCAGATTGTGGAAATCCGGGTAAGAACCGGGTGAGCAGCACCGAGGGTGACACGCCTACTCAGAAGAAACGCCAGAGATATTGCGGCAAAAAGTACCAAAGGGAGGACGTCATCGCTAAGAAGGACAAGCCGGAGGATGGAGGAGGACAAGCTGAAGAATCACGCCGTCTCAGACGCGAATCTGAAGGTCCAGCAGGTACTTTGTCTTTGTTTTTGTCAATGCGTTGATGGTAAAAATGACTGACAGAAAATGTTTTGATGTAAAAAAAAAAAAGTCTTTACAGTGGTCCCTCTCCTATCGCGGTAGTTGCGTTCCAAGACCCAGCGCAAAATGGGACAAATCGCAAACTAGAGGCGAGATAGTTATTATATCATTAACGTATATATTTACTCTTTACGAACCTCTCCTACACTGTTATCAACCCTCCCTAGACTGTATTCGTGAGCCAATCAGCATAAAGAACAGCAGAGCATGCTCAATTAGCCAATAGTACACTGAGTACGTATTGTGTTAGCCAATAGTATGGCTAATACAATCTCGTCTAGGTAAACAAAGCTAGCAGAGATCGCAAATGCGCTTTTTTCCACATTTCTAAAGCCAAAACTTTCCTATGTATAATTATTTTATAATGTGTTTTAGTCTTATTTTTTGCTATATTTCGCGATGTAGCGTAAACATTTTTACAAGATCGGATTAAAAAAAAAATCTTTGATGTAGTGACGTAGAGAAAGGAGAACCACGATATAGAAACGGAACACTGTATTTATACTGGGTTTTTTTTTACCATGAAATAAAAAGTATTGGAAATAAAATAATCACTTCTTCAAATGTCACCGAACACAGATCCACAGACCGATCCATATCTCAGCCCCGCTGCCTCCAGCCCAGAAACTCCTCCCTTCAGAAGCCTCATGACCAGATCGGGATCGGTGAGAAGAGACGAGGACATCGAGGGTTCTGCAGAGAACAGTGACAAGCCTTCGGGGAAGAGGAAGTTCAAGAGCAAACACCTAAGTGACGGCGTGGAGCAGAAGGTCACCGCCTCCATGTCTTCGTCGTCGTCGTCGTCGAGATGTTTGTTTCATGGCGCCTGATTTTTCCTGTTGTTCTGATAAATGCGTCTGTTTTTTTTAGACGAAGACCAAATGTCTGGGTAAAAGAAAGGTCCCCACCCCTCCGGAGGAAGTCCCCGAAATAAGGAGAAGAGACAGTCCTTCGCCCGTGTCCAGAACACTTCTATCCTCTCCGTCCAAAAAAAGTTTGTCAGGACGTAGCAGTGGTTCAGAGTCTCCAAAGAAAAGATCGGTCCCTCCAGAGGTTCGTCGACTCATAGTGAATAAAAATGCCGGAGAAACGCTGCTGCAGCGAGCTGCTCGACTGGGTTATCAGGTAAAGAAAAAAAGAAAACTAATTCTCTATCAGCTTCTGATGAAAGATTGAGAAGAACAGAGTAACAAGATATCTGTACCGTCTGCGTTCTACGAACAGGAAGTGGTGGAGTACTGTCTAGAGAAGGACGTCGGGGAGGTGAATCGACGAGATAACGCTGGCTACACGGCTCTGCACGAGGCCTCGTCCAGGGGCTGGACACAGATCGTCCAGATCCTGCTAAAACACGGAGCTGATGTCAACTGCAGCGCTCAGGACGGGACACGGTGAGAAAACGCATTGCTGATGACGCGAAGGTTTATCACTCATCAATGATACTGGCAGGAAGATGAACACATTTTCCTGACTATAAGTTGCACTTGTATTCATCCTTTGGCTGGGTTTGGACTTGTACTCAAGTGCGACTTATATAAAAAATATATAATTTCACGTGTTTGTTATTTTCACACTGACAGCCACTAGAGGGCACTCTAGGCCTGTGTACCAGTATCTGCTACTCTTGTACCTCTGAAAATGTACATGTTCATTATTTTCCTACTGACGGCCGCTAGAGGGCACTGGTGCGACATACACTACGGACTGACTTGTAGTCCCTAAAATATACGGTACATAGACATTTCTAACAAGACACTGACAGAAAAATATGATATTGATTTATCACTCATCGCTGCCAGGAAAAACGAGACGATCATTTATCGGAGATAATTTTCCGTTGCTTTCCATTGACAAGAAATAAAGGGAAGATGAGGAAGAGGAGATGATAATGTGTCACTCAATACTGACAGAAGGATGAGGTTTTCACTCATCGCTCATTACTGGAAGGAAATTAAATTATCATCGATTGCGAAAAACAGTGGCAGGAAGATGAGGTTGGAATTCATCTCCCAGTTTACACTCCTTTCACGGATTTACCTGTGGTGTAAATAATAAACAACAACAACGGGAGGATTCTAAATTCTGTTGTGCATATGTTTCTGACTATAGGATGTTACATTTCTTTTAGGCCACTTCATGATGCAGTAGCCAGTGACAACCTCCCCATCGTGTGGCTGCTCCTGAACCACGGCGCTGACCCGACTCTGGCCACATATTCTGGACACACACCTGTCAAACTGGCTCAGAGTCACGGCATGAAGACTTTCCTCACTGGTATTTTTTTTATTTTTTTATTATTATTTATTTAACGTAAAATACACTAACTTTACACTATAGATGGCAAAGAGAAGGCTATAAGCATTTTAGCATTCTAGCCTTCATGCATGACTTTTACATGTCATTTATCTTAGTTCACACGAACGCTCCATCTCTCTGCTCCTGACCCGAGAACAGACTACCTTTTGGTTTTGTCAAACCAACCTGGTCAAAACGAAGAACACTTTCATTAACTGTACCTTTTTTCCCCCTCATCCTTTGTCTTGCAGAGTATTTCAGTGACCTTGAAGGCCGGACCGAGCAGGATTCCAACTTCAAGTGGGATTTTTATAGCAGCTCGCTGTTTGGTGAGGGGAAAAAAAAAAATCAGTATTTACTCAGTTGTAACAGTAATCCGTTTTATCTTGTTGTTTCTAACGCTTCTAACTGTCACGATAATGGATTCAGACACATATATTATTTTTATTAATTCACTTGTTCAGACACATATATTATTTTTATTAATTGACTTGTTGTTATTATTATTATTTTGGTAATTATTCTTTTTGTTGTTATTATTATTACGACTATTATTATTATTATCAATATCATTATTATTATAACTTTTTTTTATTATTAATGTTATTATAATTATTATCTGTGTTGCAACAATTATAAGTAATATAGAAATGAGCAGATCAGGGGGCGCGCACTGAGATGGTGAATATGTTGGTGATGGAGAGAAGAGATTTAAACCTCAGAGGAGATTTTTTGGATGTCTTGAAAGAGGGGCATGAAGGTGGTTGGGGTCAAAGTCAAGGAAGCAGGGGATAGGGTGAGATGAAGAGCTGAAAGAAGAAAAAGAAACATTGTTTTGTTTTAGGAGAGTGTGCTACGGACGTTGAAAGTGTAATTGACGCCCCCGTACAAATGATGTAAATGAACGAGGTACTGCATGAGAACAGATGGAGGAGAGACAGGTGATCAAGTGTTAGTGTTTGGGACATAGATTTCCAGCAAAGCTATAGCTGAGAGGTTCAGTTTGTGGTTTTTTTTTTTTTTTTGCTGAGAAGAAGTACCACAGATGCGATACTCACTTTGAGTGACCTGTTCAAGAAGTTCAGAGAAGGTCGGGAGCCTTTGGTACGACACGCCAGGGCAACACGCCAGGGCGGTGAACGACAACATGTAAGGATTGTGAGGCGGTAGTTAGGAGCGCTGATGACATTGTCATCTGTGGTGAGAGTAGGGAGGAGGTGGAAGGTGGAGCAACTTAAGGTCAACCACGCAAAGAAAATGTGAAGAATGGGGTGCAGGCCAAATGGAATGGAATGGAATGGAATGGAGACGAGCATCAAGGGTAATTTGTGACAGAAGAATAGCAGCGGAAAGAAGAAGACGAATAGTAATGTTTACTGTCATGAAAGAAGACAAGAAACAATAGGACTTCACACGAAGTATTAAAAGAACACAACTATTGTTTTATATGAAGCTTAAATACACCATAAATAATAAATCAGTGTGTTTTGACTGAGGTAAAGTTCTCTGCCCGATGTTCATCAGAACTTTATGAATTATTAACTGAATATTCTTTTAATTGTCATTGATATTTATTTATAATAAAAATAGTGATTTATTTTCTTAATTTGTTTTTTTTGGTAAGTAAAATTTTCTTACATTTAAAAAAAAAAAAAAAAAAAAAGAAAAAAACTTTGCTTCAAAGTGATCAGCATTACTCTTAACTCACAGTCCAATAGAGGGCGTCCTAACCCACTGTTTCTCCTCTGGACTTTGCAGAGACGGAGCAGGAACCCTGCTGGGAAGAGCAGAATCAGACAGAGAAGAGTGATGGGGATTCCGACAAAGACTGTCTCCTGTTTGAGTTTTCATCCGACCCTCTGCTGCCCTGTTACTACGTCCAGGTCTCACTGAGCCAGGGGTGAGTCCACAGAGACCAGATCTGGATGAAAACCATTGAGACCTGAGAGAGAGAGAGAGAGAGAGAAAGATACCAGCGAAAAGAAGTTTTAGAGAACAAACTGATGTTAGATCAGTGGATCTCTATTATTTTCTATCATGCCCCCCCCCTTGTGGACAAAAATGTTTTTTACGCCTCTCTCTTACTGCCCCAACCCACTCCTCCACACCTCCGCATTGAAATACTATTGAGAACCTGATGAACATGTATATTTTTATCAGTACAAACCACTGTAGGAGTTGCTGCCACCTAGTGACTGGAGGTTTGTTATCATTCAAGCATTACAGCAGTGGTCCAGCGTGCCAAATTCCATATTCTGCCATGCCCCTCTAGGGGCCCCGCCCCACTATTTAATACTGGTTTAGGATCATGTTAAAATTACCTAATTTACATTGTATTTCCTATTATTTTTAGGTTACTTGTGCTTTATATTGTAAATTAGATTTAATACACCAGGTGTACGACTTCTTATTTTTATTTTATTTATTTATTTATTTATTTATTTTTCATTTCCAGCTTCTGTAACTGGTTCCTTCTGACGGATGTCCTGAAACGTCTGAAGATGTCGGCGAGGATCTTCAGGGCTCGGTACCCTCACCTGGAGGTGGTGAGTGTGTCTCGCTCCGAACTGTGGCGACAAGTGTCCATCAGTCAGGTGAGCACCTCCTTAGCTCCGACGTCCAAAGGGAAGAAGAAGAAGAAAGGGACGAAGGAGGACTCGGAGCAGGAGGACGAGGAGAAGGACGGACTCGTGGAACTGGTCCGCTGTGTTCCAGAGGTCCAGAGACTGCTGGGATCTTCTGTTCACGTCCTAGAAGAAGACGACGAGGAAGAGCAACAGGAGGAGGAGGAGGAGGAGGAGGAGGAGGAGAAAAAACAGACCAAGCCCAGAGGACGATAGCAGGAGGTGAAGTTTTTCGCAAGCGACGTTCCCGTCCGCGAGTAGCAGTAGAAGCTTCGAAAGACTTGTCCAGTTTCCAGCAGTGACCTCAGAGAGGTAACGATGACCAGGACCTTCGCAGAAGAATGTACAGAGAAGGACATCAGGTTCAAGTTCTTCTCCAAAGGATTATTTATACATCATTGAGACTTTTTTTCCCCCGACGGCAAATCAGGAGAAAGGAGCTGGTCCACCCGCAGCCAAATCAACCAGATTGTGTTTAGAGTGTTCTTTCTGATTTTTGACTACGTTCCTTAAGGGGACGAGATTTTGGACTGAGGTTCGAGAAGGTTTCTGTAGAAACCAGAAACCAAAGGCACATAAAACAGATCAGGTTCCTCTACTCTCTGTCTCTGTTCATCTGATGGAGCCTCTGAGGTTCTTCTAAGAATCTTCTGCTAGCGTTTGTGATGGTTCCTCTGTTCAGATGTTTTTTGCTAAGGTCCCCTAAGGTCTCTCAAAGGGTCCGTGTGGTTCCTCTGCAGGCTTCTGCGATGTCTCTCCCTCCTCTGGTTCTTGTGAGGTTTCTCCGAAGGTTCTCCTGAGGTCTGAGGTCCCCGGTTCCTGCTCTCCTCAAGAAACCACGACGTAGAACCAGACATGTTCAGCAGTCACGTTTTCCTCCTCCTGAACTCTGAACTGAATCAAAATGAGTCCTGTGGATCTCTCAATCTCTCTCAGAGGACACGCCCCTGACACTGCAGTGTTGCCCCCCCCCCCCCCCCCCCCCACCCTCTCCTCAGTTCCCAGAGTGATTTGTGTTTGACTCCCTAAGTGTTTATTTAAGGTCTTTATGATTAATATATTTGAGGGTTTTTGTGGGGTTGGTACTGGTTTTGAGATGATGATCAGATTATTAATCCCTTTATTCTCCATCATCAGTGTTTCACAGCTGAAGTACAGTTTTAATGTACTGGTGCTAAAGATAGTAAGTTCATAGATAAGTTTTGTGTTGACAATCAATTACATTTTGGTTTGAAGTCACAAACTAATAAAGTTTAAGAGACTAAAGGTTTAAAGAAAAGTTTAGTTTAGTTAAAAAACCAAGAAGGAAGAGAGAGTCTGATCTGTTATGAGTTTCTTTTATAAAAAAAACAAAACAAAAAAACAAAAAAAAAACAAGAATAAAGCATGATTGTAAATCTCTGGTTTTTCTCACTGTCTTCCTTATATATTTTATAACTGCACTATACCACAGTTTAATTTAAATATACATTGAAATAATGTCCAGGTGATCTTGGACACTTGTGGTAGTACTGGGGTCTCCTTGTCTAATAGTTATTTATGTACCTAATAAACTGGGTGGCACCATGCTCACTATAGATATTTATATATATATATATATATATAAATATACGTGTATATATATTTATAGTATATATTCAAAAGTCTGAATATATATATACAGAAAGTGTGAATATATATCATATATCATCATATATACTGTATATACAGTACATATATGAACAGAATAACAACAACTTTTTACTGTTTTAATAGTAAAACACTACACATTTACAATCAAAAAATTGCATTCAATCACAAAGTCCATAGATACACATTTAAAAACAATACATGTCTTTAGATGCTCCCCCCCCCCCTGTTCAATGATTTGAGTACAGGGGCCAGAGGAGCCACTGTAGATCCGTGTACAAGATGTGATGACTTACCTGCTGCTGCCTCTCGGACTGGACCTGGGTACGGAAGGCTTCAGGTTCGAATCCACCAGCTGCCAAGTCACCACTGAGGTGCCCCATTGCTCCCCGGGCGCCTGAAGCTGCCCACTGCTCACCTTGGTGATGGGTTAAAAGCAGAGGCTCAGTTTCGTTGTATCCCCGTGGTACAATGATAATGCAGACCATAAAAAAAGTATATATATATTATATATATATATAGGTATATATTCAGTATATATACATGTTAGTATATTATAGTATATTATATTTAGCGCACCTGAATATAAGCTAACTTTAAAAAGAAAAAAAATAGTGTACATATAAAGGCTGCACTTCTCTATAAGCCGCAAGTGTCCACGTAGTTACATGAGATAATTCTTTTTTCCGAACAGTGTCTGTAACACGGCTGGTCACACGTTACCTTTTTCCTGCTTTGGCGCCCCGACTGTAGTTGGAATGTACAGGGGGAAACTTAGTGCTCTGCTCCAGAGCCGAAGCTAACATTAGCTCCGGAGCTAACTCTCTTCACTTTATTTTTGTCCACAGCAGAGGTAAACACAAACAGGGAAGTTGGGGTCTTTATTAAGTCACCCAGAGCACAACAGTACATAACAGCATTCAATTCTCGCGAGAGTTTCGCGGTATTTTACGGTAGGTACAATATTTTCATTATTTTCGTGATAAAAACATTTTTAACCTAAAGTATATAAACAATTAAAATATAGCAAACTGTCTGTCCGCCACTACTGTACGTTGCTGTAAAGTTTGTGCTCGACTGTTTGGTGAAAGTTAACCCTAATTTAACGCCTAAGATGAACGCTGATCATCTTCTCAGGCTTCTGTCGCTAAGCCCAAACGAAGCTGACAGTTAACAGGCCTTTTTCTTCACAATAATCCGCACTGTGCTCGGCACTCCTCTGTTTACTCTCCTCTCTCTTTGGTCCCGGGTTGATTACCTGATGCGCTCACCTGCGTCTCCACTCCGGTGCTCTTCCCCCGGCAGCTGAGTGCTAACTTCCGCCGCGGCCCCACAATGTGCATGTGCATTGAATTTTTAATTTATAATTAGAATGTATTTTACGTTGTTTGTCATGGTCGTGTAGTTAATTTATTATATACGCAATATGTATGTCTTATATTTCCATTCTACAACTCTACTGTGCATAGAATTGTGGGAAAGGGTAATACACCCTACGGAGGGTTGATAACACTGTGGGACAGTTGAGATTTAACTTTATTGAGCCCGCAAAAGTTATTTTTTCTTCATTTCTTCATTCTTTTTGCACAATTTTTCAGTTGTAAATCGTGTTTAAATTGCAATTGTAAAATAAATGGCGTTAACAATCCATCTGTAGTAATAATGATGATAATTTAAGTCGACCTGCTGCTCTTTTTTGCCTCTAGATGGCGCCACATGCATAAGTTGAAAAGCCTAAAAAAACAATATTATTTAATATTAATTTTTTTTTTTTTAAAAATCCGAAAAAAGTAAAATATTTTACAATCACTACTAAGCCCTACTTACTTTTATCCAAACATATCATGTTTTTTAATTTAAACGTTTAATTTAAACCTTTTGAACAAATACATCCTCTTTACTTACATGATTAAAATACCAAATTTGGTAATAAACCGTTTTCCGTGTCTTTAAGATTGTTGACTGCTGAGTTCTTAGGTTTACGAGATTTGACTGTGGAACATTTGGTTCCTGCTCCTTTCCTCTGTGCAGACATGTTTTACTGTGGTGTCAGGTGACCCCGAGGGTAACTAAAGTTTATTC